AAAATGAAGTGCCCTAAACTTAGGAAAGAAGAGCTGTCACATAAAAACCCAGGTTTCTAGCATCACTTGGGAAATTGCTAGATCTGCGCCCAGGGTCCCACGCAGCATCAACTGGCTGATGTTGAATCATAGCCCCTTCCGCAAGATGGGGCATGGGCGCTCCTGTGTGGCTCTGTCTCTCTGCTTTGCTCCAGTCCCCATGTGTCCTTGTCTCCCGTACCCAGCTCATTTGCCCCTTAAAGGGGTATGGTTTCCTGGCCTAGCCTAAAAGCTTCATTAGTGACAAGGAGACTGGATTCTAGGAGGGGAGCCAGGCCCCGAGGATGGTGGCAGTGAGCTCAGAAGGGAAGGCACTTAGGACCTGGCCTGTGGAAAGGGGCAGCTGCCTCAAGGGAGGGTGTGACGTGCTCAGGGTCAGCCACGCTGCCTTCTCGGCCCGGGCAGTGCAGGTGGAAGTGTCTGGCCTGTGGGTGTTGGAAATTCCAGTCTGGAGCTTGTAAGTGAGATGGGGCTGGGGAAGAGGGATTTGCCTCCAAGGAGGTAAAGGGACAGTGGCATCACTGGGGGACAGGGCCCTGGGGGACCGAGGAGCCCATATGCACAGACGCCAGGCAAGGCAGGGAGGCCAGGAGGATCCCGGCAGAGCAGAGGATCAGAGCTGTGGGGCCAGGGCGGGTCACCTGGTCGAGTGAAGTGTCCTGACTTCTAGCCACCCCGTAGGTTCACCAGGGAGTGCTCGGGGATTTTTAAACATGGCTGCAATGCTGACATTTCCCCAAGATGCCTTTTGAGCTGTGTCCGCCATTGTTTTCACTTGGGTGACTTTGGTTACAGTTTCTGCTTTTGTCTTTCTCCTCCTGCCTCTTGTCCTTCAACCTCTTATTACCTGTTTTCAGCGTTTACCTCCTAGGAACAAGGCCATTCACCTGCGTGAGCACAGTGCCATTGTCCTGTCTGTCTTGGCTCACTTGGGCTGCTACAACAAAATAGCACACGCCGCGTAGCTTATAAAGAACAGAAATTTATTTCGTAGACTTCTGGAAGCTGGAAGTCGAAGATCGAGGTCCCAGCATGGCTGAGGGGGGGGGGGGTCTCTTCTGGCTCAGCAGCACCTTCCTGCACAGCCCCTGGTGGTGCAAGGGGCCAGGCAGCTCCAGAGCGTCCGTCAGGAGGGCCCTGGAGGCCCCACCTCCTCATACCATCGTGTTTGGTGGTTAGGATTTCAACATTTGGGGGGACACATTCAGACCATAGCACCAGTAATATTACCTAATGTATATTCCAGATTTAAATATTCCTAATTCTCCCCAAAATGTCTGTTCTAAGTTGGCTTTGTTTTGTTTTTTAAAGATTCTATTTATTTGACAGAGAGAGAGCACAAGCGCGGGGGGAGTGGCAGGCAGAGGGGGAGGGAGAAGTAGGCTCCCCGCTGAGCAGGGAGCCCGACGCGGGGCTCGATCCCAGGAACCCGGGACCATGACCTGAGCTGAAGGCAGACGCTTAACCGACTGAGCCACCCAGGCGCCCTTGTTTTGTTTTTAAACATCTAGGATCCAATCAAGAATAATGTACCGTATTTGGTCGTTCTTCAATCTTTAATCTTTAGAATAGTCCCTCTACCGTAATTGACTAATACTGTGGCTAGATTTCTCATTTAATTGATCTGGGGTGACTCTGACACTGGTATTCTTTTTTTTTAAGTTCCCCTAATAAATAGAAAGTGCATTTGGGTTAAGAACCACTGCTGTGGGGCAGAGGAGGTTGAGGGACACCAGGAATGATGCTCTTCGGAGACCGTCTTGGTTGAGTGGTGCTGGTTGAAACCAGGTGGGAGAGACAGTGGACCAGTGGCTTAGCGGAACCAAGTGAACACTCTAATAATAAAACACATGCCTCCGGTGTGGAAAGCCCAGACCCTGCCCAGCGTGTGGTCAGAGGTAGAGATGCAGATGGGTGCCTCCTTCCCCAAGGATTCACTGGGAACAAGAGCAGTGACCGCCGCAGTCCCTTCCACACTCTGCACGCCAGAGCCGATGGGCAGTGTCGGGTGCTCCAAGCAAGGCAGACCCGCTAGCCCACACACACAGATCAGGACGGAGTGAAGATTTAAAACCACGTCCTGAAAAGCTGTTTTTAAAGGCTCGGAAGGTGTAGCCTGAATGCAGGAAGTCTCACAGGGTACGTGACAGTGTCTCACGTTCATTAAATAGGCATTTAGGACACACCCACTCTGGGGCTAGTGCTGTGCTTGGCTCTGGGAATGCCAGGGGGGCAAATGTCCTGGCAGTGTGCTGGGAAAACCAGCCCGTTCTGGGACCCTGAGGTGGGCTAGCACCTAGAAGAGAGGCCCGTGGCTGACGCTGGTGTGGTTGCGTGTTTAAGACCCGTGCTGAGCGTGACCGAGTCAGACTGCAGTTCTGTCCTATTAGCGCTGCACCCCTAAATGAGCTCCGAGGTGGGGCTCTGTCCTGGGCACTGGCGTGTGTAAGCGGAGCGCCTCAGGGCGACACAGGAACAGCCTCCTTTTATTGCAGAAGTCCCGGAAAGGCACACTGCAGGAAGAAGTCTCAGGTATTCACTGAGGTTCTTGGCAGAAGAAGAGTAGCGGACGCAATGCTTCATCGCCTCCCTGACACCAGGACTGTCTAGGGCTGCTTGTGAGGGGACAGACGTCTGAGATCTGGCGGAGTCTTTGATGTTCCCGTTGGGAAGCCTGAACCAGCGAGGTCACATAATTTCCTAAAGTCCCACAGCACAGAACAGAAGCCCTCGCGCTTGCTGGCCTGACTTCCGTCCTCGCTCGGTGATGAGCAACAGTAGCAGCTCTGTTGCTGGTTGAAGGAGCTCTAGTGAGGAGCCCCAAGGGTCTGATTCCACTGTGCCTTCTCCTCCTAGCTGCAGGCTTTCTTGCTGGTGTCCGACGACATCATGGACTCGTCCCTCACCCGACGGGGGCAGATCTGCTGGTATCAGAAGGTACAGTGGGCGGGAAGGTAGCGGTGGGCACGGGACAGGCCCCAGGGAGCTGGTGCACAGAGCATACCGAGGTGTTCAGAGTGGCCGAGACTGAGGGCTTGTTTTTCTCCACGCCCCTGCCAGCCAGGCATAGGTTTGGATGCCGTCAATGACGCTTTGCTTCTGGAAGCCTGCATCTACCGCCTGCTGAAGCTCTGCTGTCGGGAGCAGCCCTATTACCTGAGCCTGATTGAGCTTTTCCTGCAGGTGCGCTGTGGGCCGTTGGCCCGGGGGATAGCTAGGTTTGCCTGGAAGGGGCAGAGTGGGCCAAGGTGCTGGGCAGGGCGGTGGCAGAAAGGGCTTCCCCGTGTCCTCGAGGCGGGAAGGAGGGCTGAGAAAGCGCTGTGTCTCTGTGCATGCGGGCCCTCCACCTCTCACTGCCTTTCTCTCTGCTCGTGCTGTGGGCTGTGGGGCCCTGGATTCCAGGGTTTCCTGGCCCCAGAGAAAGCCCAGCTGATGGGCCATCTTCCTCCTCCTTAGAGTTCCTATCAGACGGAGATTGGACAGACCCTGGACCTCATCACAGCCCCCCAGGGCAATGTGGATCTTAGCAGATTCACTGAAAAGAGGTGAGGGACGGGGGAACTGTCTGGCCAGTGAGGTAGGGCTCTGCTGGGCACTGCCCTTCTGAGGACCTTACCTTCTCCCCCTACTCAGGTACAAATCTATTGTCAAGTACAAGACCGCTTTCTACTCGTTCTATCTTCCTGTGGCGGCTGCCATGTACATGGTGAGTGAGTCTCCTGCCCCTTGTTGCCCACTGATGGGGCTTTTGGACAGAAGGCACAAAGCAGACAACTTTGGACAGTCTGCTGCCCCCACTGTGTGGCCTGTGACCCTGAGCAAGTTACTTAAGGTCTGAGGATGTCTTCTCAGCTGTACGATGGTGAAGTTCCCTCCTTCGGATTTTTGTGAAGTTATATGCGAGTGGCCAGCCCGTCCTCCATCCGGGTCTGGATGGGAGGGGGGAGGAAGTTCACGCTGAGAGGAAGACCGGGTCCAAAGGCAGGCGGTGGGATTTCCTGCCCGCCCTGACCTCGCTTCTCCAAGTTCCCCTTTGATCGGGAAGAAGCTGGAGGAAGCAGAAGGCGCTGGAAGAGTGAGTCAGGGGCTGGGCACGTGCCAGCCTCCAGAGCTGACTTCGTCCCTGCTGGCTCACACCGGAGGGCCTCGCCGAAGGAGGTGGGCTGGAGGTCAGACCACCGAGACCTCCTGGAGCCCGGAAGCCAGGGATGTCTGAACGGAGAGCGGAGAGGATTTGGGGGCTGCGTCAGGGCGCCCTGGGAGATGCAGCAAGGAGAGTGAAGGCGCCCGTGGTGTTTGGCTTATAGATCCCCTTTTCACTGTAGGCGGGCATCAGTGGGGAGAAGGAGCATGCCAATGCCAAGAAGATCCTGCTGGAGATGGGGGAGTTCTTTCAGATTCAGGTAGGAAGGCATGGGCAGGGAGCAGGCCACAACTGCCCTAGGGCCCTGCCCTGGGGTCTCTTCATTTGTCGTCCTCTGCCCCCTGCCCAGGACGATTACCTCGACCTCTTTGGGGACCCCAGTGTGACAGGCAAGATTGGCACAGACATCCAGGACAACAAATGCAGCTGGCTGGTGGTTCAGTGTCTGCAGCGGGCCTCTCCGGAACAGCGTCAGCTCCTTCAGGTGCCCGGGAGGCCGCGGATCGCCGAGCTCCCAGGAGACGGCCAGAGCAAGGACGTCAGCCGGGTGGGGACGTTTGGCAGCATCAGCAGACATTGTCTGCCACGTGCCACAGGGATCTCTAGTGGGTGGAGGCCGGGAAAGCCGCCCGACATCCTCCGATGCGCACGACAGCTTCCCGCAGAGAGCTAGCCGGGCCCCGGGCGGCGGTAGGGGCAGGCAGAGGAAACTGAGGCCCGAGCCGGTTTCGGAGCGTGTGCGGCGGGGAGGGGGGAGTTCCAGATCGCGGGCACTCCAGGACCCTCGACGCTGGAGGCTGGAGTGTACGGATGTTGGGCGTGCTGGGCGGGGCTGAGCCGATTGCCCTGCCTCCCACCCCTTGCAGGAGAATTACGGGCAGAAGGAGGCGGAGAAGGTGGCCCGGGTGAAGGCGCTGTACGAGGACCTGGACCTGCCCGCCGTGTTCACGCAGTATGAGGAGGACAGCTACCGCCACCTGATGGGCCTCATCGAGCAGTGCGCCTCGCCCCTGCCCCCCGCCATCTTCCTGGCGCTGGCGCACAAGATCTACAAGAGGAGAAAGTGACCTGGAGACTGCGTGGGCGGGGAGGGGGCCTCTCAATAAATTGTCGAAGCTCCGTGTGGTTCTGTGCCTGCTTGTGCTAGCCGGGGGCGCAGCGCCGTCCGCAACGGGCAGGGTTGGGGGTGGCCGCGGAAGGCGGGACCTGGGGCTTGCCTTCAGGACCCCTCGGCACCGAAAGCTGCGGGCCGGCCTGGGTGGTGACACACGCACGACGTCAAGCGGTGGGGGCTGGGCCTGGGCTCCGCCCCGCCCATGCGTGAAGGGGCGCGGCTGCGCAGCGCCGGCGGGTTGTCCTAGCGCCCCCCCTTCCAGTCGGCGCGGTCCGGCGGGTACCTTGGGAGTCGTGGACGAGCCCAGCTGCGGCGCTTGCAGGAGGACCCTGGTGAGGGGGGCTCGGCCATGGGTGTGGATAGACGCTTCGGGGCCCGCCAGGTGGGGCGGGAGAGGGGAGCAGTAAAATTGCACAGGGGAGGAGTGGGGTGGCGCCTGGGTGACGGAGACAAGCGCGGAGAGAACGGCAAGCGCAGGGTCCGAGCCGGGGATGCTCGGTCTTTGCCCCCACGCCCGCCCCTCTCCTGCATTTAGCCAGCCAGGCGCGTCTCCCCCGCCCCACCCCGTTTCGGAGCATCTGGGCGGGGCCTCCCTCGGCCCCTTCCTCTGGGAGCGAAGGGCAGGCGAGGGAAGTGGGGAGGGGGGGGCGGTGCAGGGCCAGACTGCAGCAGAGAGGATCCGGGGCTCCATTCTAGGCCCCATCCTTTTTCAAGCCCCCGCACCTCCACGGAGATCCAGAGCGCAGCCGCATTCTCTGACCCTCCCCGCCCCAGTCCCAGGGGGCTCCCTTTGGCTCCACCTGCAAACACTGCAGTGGAAATTAAGGGTCAGTCGATGGACATTTGCGTCTCATTTAAATATCGTCAAAAGCGGCCGGCGCCTTTCATGCGTGCTGCAGCTGTCCGTCACCTCTGTGTCCTTCTGGCGGCCCGCGTCCTCTCTGGCTGGGTATCACTCTCCCTGTCTTCCAGGTCTGCAGCTGCGGTTGCCAGGTAGGCGGGTGTGAGAGGCCCGATCCTCCTGATTCTCGAGGCCGCCCCGTCGTCGCCTGCACAATGCTGTCCCCTCAGAGGGCTTTACTCTGCAACCTCAACCACATCCACCTCCAGCATGTCTCCCTGGGCCTGCACCTGTCCCGCCGCCCTGAGCTCCGGGAGGGGCCCTTGAGCACATCCCCTCCCCCCGGGGACACCGGGGGCAAGGAGAGCCGGGGGCCCTGCAGCGGGGCCCTGGTGGACGCCAATTCCAACAGCCCAGCTGTGCCCTGCCGATGCTGCCAGGAGCACGGGCCAGGCTTAGAAAACCGGCAGGACCTAGCACAGGAGGAAGAGGGGGCCGCCTCTCCCTCGGACCCGGGCTGCTCCTCTTCTCTCAGCTCCTGCTCCGATCTTAGTCCCGATGAGTCCCCCATCTCGGTGTACTCGCGGGGCCTCCCTGGCGACGAGGATGTCCACCCTCAGCCCAGCATCATCCCCCTGGAGCAGGGATCCCCACTGGCTTCCGCAGGCCCTGGCGCCTGCTCTCCGGACAGCTTCTGTTGCTCGCCCGATTCCTGCTCCGGAGCATCCTCCCCACCGGGCCTTGGCCTGGACTCCAACTGCAACGCACTGACCACCTGCCAGGACCCCGCTTCCCCAGGGCTAGAGGAAGAGGACGACGGTGGGGAGCAGGACCTCCCTGCCTCCGAGCTCCCAGAGGCGGATGATGAGAAAGCCGACGCTGGGAGAACCGAGCCCAGTTGGAAAATCAACCCCATTTGGAAAATCGACAGGGAGACAACTGACGCGGGCTGGAAAACCACGGAGAACAATAACTCCGGCTGCACAATCAGTGGGAATACTAACTCTAGCTGGAAAACGGAACCTGGAAAACTCGACTCCAGTTGGAAAAGCAGCACAGGAATAACTGACTGCAGCTCGAAAACAGATGCGGGGAAAACTGATGCGGGGTGGCGGAGTGACGTCAGCGAGGAGCCGGCGTCCCACCGGACAATCACGTCCTTCCACGAGCTGGCCCAGAAGCGCAAGCGGGGCCCGGGGCTGCCCCTGGTGCCGCAGGTCAAGAAAGACCGCAGCGACTGGCTCATCGTCTTCTCGCCCGACAGCGAGCTGCCCCCCAGCGGCTCGCTGGGCGGCTCCCCGGCACCGCCCCGGGAAGTCACCACCTTCAAGGAGCTCCGCTCCCGGAGCCGGGCCC